GAACTCATCTGAAGAAAGAAGAAGAAGTTCATAATGAGAAGAACTTGTTCAACTTTTCGCTCGAATTCATCACTCGATGGATCAACTTTTCCAGTGAAAGAGTTCATAATGAGAAGAACTCATCTGAAGAAGAAGAAGTTCACAATGAGAAGAGCTTGTGCAACCTTTGCTAGATTACATCACAGAAGGAGATAAATTGTCATCCCCAGTGGAAAAGTTCATAATTAGAAGAACTAATCCCAAAGAAGAAATTATTCAACATTGCCATCATAATCAAGTGAAGTCAAATGGATAAAAAATTTTATTATCTTTTCGTCTTTGCCCTATTCTTGTTAACACAAGAATGAGCAAAGAGGGGCAGCTGAAGATACTAATTTTTTTACCCATTTTATTTATTTTATTATTATTATTTATTATTATTATTATTATTATTATATATATTATTATTATTATTAAAAAAATAATTACAAACCGGCCCAAACCCTAGCTCCCAGCCGCCACTTCTAGTGAGTTCCAGCCGCCCCACGTCTACACTGCCGACGCCTCTACTTCCAGATGTCTAAGCCCGCCGTTGCCATGAAGCCACACACGTTGAAGCCCTATGGTGAGTCACCACCATAGCTATGGTGACTCACCAAAGCTTCCCTCTTGGGACTGGTCCGATCCGAGCACTGTGGTGGCTATAAAAAGCACCACCAAACCTGAAAAAAAGGGAGGGAGGAGGAATCAGAGAAAAACGGAGAGACAGAAACAAAGAAGGGCCACAGTAAGCCAACACAGAACAACCCAACAGTCAAATATCGAAAGAAAAGAGAAGAGAGAAACTTACCGAGGAAACTGCAGTCATCAGAGCCTCCTCGTACCATCGGAAAGCCGAGAGTCAAAGGTAAAAAATCCTTAGATCTAGGTCGATCTAAGGGGATTTATGGTAAAAGGAGGTTGGATTTGGCCTTTAGGAGTTGAGATCTTTAATTTGGTGTAGTTTGGTAATCTCCGGCCACCGGAGACGGCGGCCGGCGGCGGCGATCGTCGCCGGAAACGGAGACCGGTTCTCTTCTCCCGTGAAGGAAAATGAGAGCTTCTCTCTCTTTAGAGAGAGAAGCAAAACCAGACAAATGAAACAATAGCCCAAGGGAGGCCGGCCGTTTGGGTATTAATACCCTCATCAAAATGACGCCGTTTTGATGAGGGGTACCTGTGTAATTTACATGTATGGCTAAACCCTTTTCGTAGCCATCGTAGTTTTGTAATTATTCATTTTAATCACTGAAACTAACTTCTGAATGTTCCAATTCAGTCTTCAAATTTTATTTTTTTATGTTTTAATCCTTACCAGTATTAAATAATATATTTAGGATAAATATCATATTTTGTCCCTAATAATTTTAATATTTCTATTTTAATCACCGATTAATTAATTAGGTTAAATTACTCTATTAACCATTATCTTTCATAATATTTTGAATTATTATCTTTATTTTTAATACTTTATATTTAGTTTTATAATTTTAATTTCTTTTATTTTGATCATTATTTGATTACAATATTATTTTGTTATTACTTTTATATTTTAATTATGGCTTTAATTATTATTTTATTATTTTGATCTTATAAATATATTTATATATATTAGTTTAAATTAAATATTATAAAAATTATAATTTATTTTTATTTAAATCATTTTTATGAAAAATTATTACATTTTTAATATTTATTTTATTTATTAATATCAAAGGAAAGAGTTGTCTTAAAGCACTTAGAAGTTCTTTTTTGATATTCATAAATAAATAAATATCTTGTTTTTATAAATTATATATTAATTATTTTTAGAAAAAAATGTTTTTAAGTTATTTATTTTTTAATATCGAAGAAAGGAGCTGTCTTAAAGCACCTAGAAGCCCTTTTCTAATATTTTTAAATAAATAAATATCTTATTTATACATATTAATATATTTTCTTAAAATTATTTGAAATAACATAATTATGAATTAAATATATTTGAATTCTTAAATTTCTAATAATAGAGACAATGTATAATTAAAAAGTACCAATTTTGGGCGTTGTAGGGGTGCTAATCCTTCCCTAAACGTAACCGACCATGAATCCCTTTTTATTATTAAAAAGAAAGAATTTTTTGCTATAAACGCAGATCAGTTCATCTTTTAACTGATGTTTTCTTAAAAACTCTTTTAAAAGATAATTTTTAGGTATTTGACCGACCTGACCCAAAAGGCCGATGGCGACTCCCAAATTATTTTAAAAACCATTTATTCACATCACTTTTCCCACCAAGTAAAAAAAAATTCGTGCCCGGACGAAAACCGGTTACGACATCCCAATTTTTAATTTATGTATGATGTTTATAACTTCATCATCCACATCAGATGTAAAATCTATATTTTTTATGAAACCTTCTTGATCCTCTTCATTAGCAATATCCCCTAATTCAACATCATTTACAATTGGCTCACTATTACATATTTCTTCAAAAATAGTAGCAACAACAACCCTTAATTCAACATCCTCTATAGCAGCTTCAAACTCATATTCACTATCAGAATCGTCTACAACAACTTCAACATCAACTTCACCATCAGGTTCGTCCATTAGCAAAATGACCAGACACTCCGTTTGCCTCTAAATCATCTTCACCAACTGGCCTATCTACATTAGCAAGCCCAAAAATACTTCATATGCCTCTAATTTATCTTCACTAGCAAGCCCATCACCATTATCAGACCAAAAAATTACTTTATTTACCTATACCCCATCTGCACCAGCCTTAGTAATTTCTTCATCCACATCAATTTTATTGTCAACATAGATATCAACAGTACCATTCTTGATCAGTAAATTCATGACCTACCTAACTGTATCATCATTGTGAATCAACAACAAACTATCACAATCAAACTTCACATTAAGTACCCTAGGACACACAAATTTATGCGGTCCATATCGCAAAAGTTCTACATTCCCTAGTATATCCCACAGGTATAACACATCTTGAACAACTTGAAATTTTTCAGTTGATCCATTTACATATTCAAATCCCGGACTTGCATTAAATCTACCACCGTGAAAACATTGCAGCACATAAATATCACCAGCCATAGTACTTCATCACCAATAAAGAAAAGATAGCATTAGCCATTATTATGTGGAATGTATAAATCATGTTGCATAAATAGTAGCCGTCATCGTCATGAATAACACATGGCATAATTTAAAAAGCAAAAAAATTAAAGTAATAAAGAAAAAGAATCCACATGAATCACATGCAAAATCCACATCCTAACAGACAAAATTATAAAGAAAATATAAATGCACGTGCATCATTTGCAGCACATGCACCACATCCCACCCCAAATTACATTAAACCCTCGCATGCTATTAAAGAACACATCTGGATCAACAGTCAAAATAATAACAAATCTAAGCCGAACACAACATGCTATTGAAAAACCAGAAACCAAATTGAAACATCAATAAATTTCGGCCAAACAGAAACATAATAATGCCAAACACAACATGCTATTGCGGAAACAGTAAAACCAAGTTAGAAAACAATATAATGAAAATAATAACAAAACATCAGAAAAGTAGGGTAAACTAACAACATTTTCAATCTGAACATATTATGGTAAACAATAAAACAAGAATAAAAGAAGGTTTTCAAAGTGATGCAATATCTCACCCCTTTTTCACCATATACCCTTCCAACAACGCTGACCTGTGAGAACAAGAATAAAATAAGAAGTTAAACAAAATAATAGTAAAAAGATTTTCACAATGCAAAACTCAAAGTAAAAAAAAAATTGTTCTTACTATTTTTATTGCATTGGTCTCGATTCTAAGTTTCCAGAGTTTGCGAACAAGTCATGCATGTTTTTTAGAGTTTACGAAGGAATCATTATAGGGTTTTAGAGTTTGGAAACTATGGTCAACGACGGTTTCTGTTGGTCAAAGGGTTCAATTGGTTTCTTTTATAGAGTTTGAGCCAAACTCCCCCCCTAAAAAATAGGGGGAGCATTGGTTCTTTTTATTTTTTGAAACTTCAAGGCCTTTGATGCATTTAAACCTTATTTTTTTATTCTAGGCCTAACTCAAGGTGACAAGTTTCATTAAAAAATTAATTTTTTTCAAAATTTTAATATGAATTTGGTTTTTTATTAAAAAAAATTGGAATTCGTCACCTCGAGGTGACGATTTCTTTTTCTTGTAACAATTTTTTTTCAGCTACATTACCCATGTAAATATCAAATTTTGGTATTGGGTAAACTACATGTATAATATATAAACTATCATTTTTGTTTTCTTTTGGTACCTAAATTTTTACCTGTTTCAAAATTATATCAAAAGTTTACTTTTTTATTTCATTTTGGTACCTCGCTGTTAAAAGTTTAGCGAAACAAGTATGACATTTTTATGAGTAGATTACATCATTTATCACTCAACTATCTTCTCACTCCTATTTTGGTCACTAGAGTTTATTTTTTAATTTTATGACATCATTTTTTATTATTAATTTATTAATATATAATTAAAATAAAAAAATTTAATTTAATAACTTTCATATTGCTCCTAATGTAATCACTCTAACTTTTAAATCTAATTTTAAAAACAAAATACCAAAATGAAATAAAAAGTAAACTTTAGATATAATTTTGAAATAAATAAAAATTTAGGTACCAAAAGAAAACAAAAATGATAGTTTATATATTAAACATGCAATTTACCCAATACCAAAATTTGATATATTTACATGGATAATGTAGTGAAATGTGTTGACATTTGAAAGCTCAAAAAATAGTTACACCAAAAGGAACTTTTTAATTACGAGCTTTCCACAACTCAACATAGCAAGTGTCTTAATAGAAACCAATGAGAAGAAAAATGACCTAGGTAAAGGTAGAATGAAGCGAGATGAATAGGGTTTAATATCTTCTCTAACTGAGATGAAGTAATAAAAGCCTAACAATGGAAAATTTGCAAGTCCTCACAAGGTTGAATATTCACAACAGTCGAAGTGGGGTTCATTTTGACATAAATGAATAAGCCGTGCCGATCATCCCATCAGAATGTCTAGCTTTGTTAAAAGACCAAAAATATGACCAAATGTGGAGCCTATTGTGAAAGTACAACAGTTGATTTGAGGAAATCCAATCGGTGTTTGGTCAGATTAATCTTCTCTTTTGCTTCTGCTGCTTTTTCCTGAACACCACGGACGATATCCTCGGGAGCTTTCTCGATGAACTGCAAAAAGAACATATTGTAGAATTTTAAGGAACTTATAAGAAATTGCAGGCATCAATATGCATAGGAAAATTGATTTAGATTGTTGGAGAGAAAACCAAGCCATCAATTGACACATCCCATGAAGACTTGTGCGAGTAAACAGCAATCCATCAGTTAACATTTCAAATGCTTTAGCACATATACTTTCCCAAATTTGACAACATTCTCATTTGATTTCAGAAAGACAACGACTTGAGCTTCTCCCTAAAGTCAATTCTATCTAGGTTTCTGGTTACATGCCCCCACAAAATTTGACACATGATAAACAAAATGCCATACTGAACATTTTCGGGAATTCTCTCCAAGAAACTTTTGACTACTACAACAAAATAGTGTTGCTTTATAAGTTCCGTGCCTTTATTTTATCCTAATTTTAATTCGTATGCTCCACAATATTTTAGAAGCTTAAGCACAGTGGTCACGAGTTGTAAGTCACTACGCCTTACTCATAACAGATCCATTAACCACATGCTTTGTTATTATATGACATCGATGCCAAGGGTAATGCATAATATCAGTGCATCTACAACAATGACCAAATAGTTCATACTTTAGGGGAGCTGAGGCGAGCTTTTAGTTCCTCATACTCTATTTGCATCTTTGATAGGCACTTGGTTAAGCGTTCGACTTCAGCAGAAATATCAACAATATCAGCAAGGGGAAGATATGCCTCAAGTCCTTCACTTGCAACAAGGTTTAGCATCCTCTGCAAGTATAAATAAATTTTGATACCTCGCTTTTTATATATCAAAGAAGAGTCGACCAATAGCAAGTACTATCAGGTGAAATGAACATACAAAACATTTATTATTCCAAAGACCGAAAGATATATGGTTCAAAGTAAACAAACCTGGAGGAGAATCAGTGAAATGAATATTGTCTATATATAGCTTGGATAAGAGAGCCAAAACCTCCTTCTCTTCCTGCATCAGGAGTATACAACCTATCAAGATTTATTTGCAGACATGCTAATCGTATGCAAAAGACATTGGCATTGCTCATTAAGCCAATCCTTTTGCCACCTGACTTGACAACAGTCAAAGGTAGTTTGGTTACGAGTTTATGTTATGCATTGTAAGATGGCTCAAACAAGAAAAGAGACAAAACAATGCCATTTATTTTTCTTTACAGCTAATAAGACAACATCTAAAGAAACAAACTATACTTACAGACATATACTGAATGACTTCTTCACTGCCAACAATAGAAGCAGATATACGCTTTGCTGGCTCAACAGAGTACTCGGTTCTAGCATTCCAGATTGCTCGAGTCTATCACACAAGTTACCAGAAATTAGTGATTGATTTACCTTAGTACTTATGGCTTGAAGAATAGCAGGAATGGAGCCTAGGGAAATGTATAGGGGAAAAGAACACATCTATATACTCACCAGAGCTTGTACAAATCTTTTTACCAAATTAGTATTCCTGGGAAGAGAAGTTTCAGGCCAAGCAGATATTATAAGAGCTTCTGTTCGACTGGGAAGTGCCTGCAGATAATAAAAACAAAAAGAAAAATCCACAGAAGCAAGAATTATGTGGAAGTTGAATCCGTATAAAACCTTAGGGACTGCGAAAAACAATAAACTATAGAAAAAAATATTTCTTTTTTGAAGCACTATTCACGTCTTATTCACACAAGTGCATGTGTGTAACCAGATGTGCACATTAAAATCTAAACTTGGAAAGGTGCAATACATGCTTTGTGATAAGGTAAGGAAGAATGGGGAAGAGGTTCCTATGACCTGTGAGTGTTAATAGAAATGTATGCAAGAGAATTTAATCTAAACTTAATATTAACAGGAATGGCCAAATTCAAGAAGACAGCAAACTAATTTACTTTGAATTTGGAAAAAGTATTAACAAAAACATAGTAAAACACAATGAAGCCCACACCTGCCACAATTCCTCAGTTAAGAATGGCATGAATGGATGTAATAATTTCAGTATATTCTCAAAAACGTAGAGTAGAACAGCCTGTGCTACTAAAGCAACTGAATCATCTCCAGAGTGGTAAAGGCGAGCTTTACTGGCTTCAATATACCTATGGAAACAAGAAAAAAATCCCGTGCATGAGATGCAGATATAAAAACCAATCACACAACACTAAAATAACTACAGTTAGTCAAAGTAAAAAACTATACCACTGTACCACTACGTTTTGCCAAAATATACAAAACATGACAGGTATTTAATGTATGCGTCATCAGCACAAAATGATCCAACTTACAATAGAATTCTTATACTGATACCCATAAATAACACATGCGATCCACGAATTGAATTTTACCCCTTCACCCTTAGGGAAAATAGGGTATTATGTGCTATATAACAAAAGCATAAACTTTGTTTGTTTTCAGTTTTCACATCAGAACAAAGGGCATACATTTTGGTTTCAATGATCAGTGAATGACATAAGATCTAGACCTTAATGGCATAAAACAATAGAACATAGTTCTGTTAGTAGAAAGTTGATCATAAAAACATTTAACATACCAGTCGGCAAAATCACCCCAAAAGAAATCATATATTTCTCTCCCAAAATCCCCAAAGAAAAATTTGTTATAACTCTATGTGACATCATCAATAAGCATATGCAGTTTTGAGACCTGAAAAATGAAAAACAGTACTCAAGTAACTTCTGTCTCATTCAGAAAAAGGATAATCAGGTATGAATGACTGTAGCTAACTTGGTTCAAGTATACAGAAAAAGGGAAGAAGGATAGAAGCAAAATCACCATAGTATTATTTTCTTACCACCCAACATTCTGGAAGAGGAAGCCTTAGAAGATAATCCTCCGTGTTAAACTGAAAAAGAAATAATACTTTTCAGTTTACAATAGGATGGCACCCATCTTCTTAGGAAAAGGACATTGTGATGGTGTCAAAAGTAAAAATAACTTGCACCATATGCAATAATGATAGCTCCATATGCAAGCACAACTCAGAATAATACCATTGATAGAACAACCAACAAATACAATAAACGCCTCTTCAATAATTAGAAATAATACATATACACTTGCTCTGATTTTGCAAGAAATGATATGGTAGCAAAGCATACAGTTTTCCAATACAAGGATAGACGTGATCTAGTCAATCTCACTGATCTGACTAAAGAGAAACGAACCTTACAATCCTGTATGTTCTGCCAACCAGAAACATTATCCCGATTAGGCAGACTGTACAGCACAAACTTGCCAGCATTCCATAATTTATTCGTGAAGGCCTTGTTTTCTGTTAGCCTTTCAGTAGATAAATTTAGATCCTAGAGAGAATTCAAGGAGCATACTGTTATAAGAAACATCATGTAGAAACAGTAGCAAACATTCTATGAAACAATTTTCAATATTGAATTATCAACTTGTTGCTTATAGTAAAAGACAAACCTGACCAGCCGTTCCTAATGCGAGAGTGAATCGCAATGCATCAGTGCCAAACTCCTTGATAGTATCAAGTGGATCAATAACATTGCCAAGAGTTTTAGACATTTTACACCCCTGAAAAACCTTACATGTTAGACAGATATTTTTTTTGAGCCTTGTGAGTGATGGAAATAATGTGTCGTTCTTAGAAAAACAAACTGTAAGGGCAAAATATAGATACAGCAACAATACATTTCCCCTTCTTTGCTCTGTTTCTGCACCAACCCACCCACCCGCTCCACATTTTTACTTTTTCTATTTCAGGTTATAGATAACAATCAGTCATATGAAGGCCAATAATTTCCAATTGACAAATCTACATTGTTCATGTCCATTTTGAAACCCAATGTGTCACCCTTTGTAATATTTACAAGGAAGGAAATCATGAGAGAAGATAAAAAGGAAAGATATAGGGGAGGGGTTGATATGATCATATTTATAGGAATCAGAAGACAACTACCTTGCCCTTAGGATAGATATGAACCATGAAGATATTACGGTTTAATTTTTTATATCAATTGAATATCAAAAGCTCTCATATAAACAAACAAACATGGGCAAGTTGAGAAAATATGCAGATGCAAGGGAACACCACTTGAGAAAACATTTTGGACTTTAAAATTTATTCCCAAGTAATAGCCTAATTCATTCTACTTACTTGGGAATCACGGATTAGACCATGGTGATAAACATATGAAAATGGAACAGTTCCTGTGAATTCAAATCCCATCATGATCATTCTTGCAACCCTGAAGAACAATATATCATGCCTGTCCAAAGTGAAAAAGTGTTAATGCCAACAGTAAAAACATATAGAAGTAATCAAATGGAAATTCCTGAAACCAAAGTATGCAATAAAGCCATCTAATTTCTTATTGAATACTGTAATAGAAGCACTCTCCTACTGAAAGAATAGTGTATGGCATCTTAGTTATAGCAGTTAAACAAAGGGGTTCATACCCAGTTTCAAGCATTTTTGTCGGATAAAACCTTTTAAAATCCTCTGCCGACTCATCTGGCCACCCAAAAGTACTGAAAGGCCATAAAGCACTGAAAAGTAGCAGCAGTTCTAGTATAGTCAAAAACTATAACATTTATCACATAAACAAATATTGATGTGTGCAGACAAGTTTCATTTCCAGAGCATGGTAGGACCTTATCAAAATCTCCTAAACTTAGATGAACCAATAATTAAAAACTTAAGTTGAACAAGACGGATTAAAAAACAACATATTCCATTTTCTACCAGTTACTGCATTACTAAAAAAGCCCCACAAGTGAACTCATCTGGAGTAGTAATTTCAGGAACTTCACAAGCTATTTCAAATAATTAACAGTAAATTTTTCACACCCACGTGGTGGGTTAAAGAAATATTTTATGCTAAAAAACATTATTTGTTTTTTGAAATTTTATCCAATAATTATTACAGGTTGAGTGGTAAAGAATTTATAAAATCTTAACGAACAAGCATTTGACCCTTAAATGAGTAGTTTTTAATTCTTATTTAAAAATTATATAAAAATATGAAAGTACAAAAGCGCTATTATAATAATATTAATTATTATTTAAATGAAAGGGTATTCTAGTAATTTTTCACTGAGCTAGAACCTGGTTAACCAGTGACACCAACTCAGTCAGGAGCTTAATAATAGTATAGATAGATAGATAGTTGCCTCAATGCTTTTTGCACCAAAGTTAGATATCAAACGTATTTTTACTCAAATGCTGATGTAGTCCTAGTAGGAAAGTGACAGGAAATCCAACCATATGGAGAGATTTTTTTTCCTTTTTGAAGAAAAGCTAATAATCATGCAAGAAAGTTCTATGAGAATATTAATATAATAGCCTTATTTGAATGACAATTTCAAAAATTACTTCCTTTCTGTTATGCGATCTGAAAGACTTAAACATGATTCATTGATGTGTCGACAGATTTTTTTTGGCATAGTTCTTCATATCTAATCAAGAACTTGTTTCAGAAAGGAGAAAAAAGTAGAGTGTACTCGTTTGATTGATTGCTTGAAATATTTCATCATTTAATTGCAGTGTTTATTACATTATATTAAAGATTACATTACAAATACCATCTGAGGTTTATAAAGAAAGTCCTTTACAGACTTTTACAGACTTGAAAAGGTGCCGACAGAAACAAACACAACATAGAAGAGAGTAAACCAAAGAGACAGCAAAATTAGAACAGACAAAGACTGGTTTTAGACTTTAAATGCATAACGTGTTGGACTCTAGCTTGTAATATAATTGAGCTCCATCCAATCTGTTAGATTTTCTTAGGCAATAAGGATTTTAAAAGGAAAAAAAGAAGAAGAAGAAAAAAGGAAGTCAAATTATGTACCAAAACAGAGGGAGAAACTCTAGGTGAAAAATGACTTTCCATCCTAAAAGAGAGGATATGAAAGTTTCAGAGTTCAAAATTGAAAAACCAACCTTGAGAACCAAGTGTCAAGAACATCAGGATCCTGATAAATTTCTACATCTTTTCCGTATTTATCATGAGCCTTCATAAGAGCTTCCTCAGCATTCCTAGCAACTATATATTCCTCTTCACAATCTTTTCCAACAATTTACCAAACAGGTATGCGATGTCCCCACCATAGCTGTCTGCTTATGCACCAATCCTTGATATTTGTCAACCAATGATTATAAATCTGTAATCAAAATGATCAGATGTGAGTGAAGGCAGATACTCACAAACAGAAGTAACCTTAAGGGTGCGTTTGGATGGGGGATTGTGAGATTACCGACGGGAATTTTTTTTTTCCGGAATGTGATTCCCCCGTTTGTATTTCAAAGATTCCCAACCCCCGGTAATAAGCCATTCCCAACAGTGACATTTTGGGGAATTATTACCGGGAATGTGATTCTCCCAATCCCTTAAGTATTTGTCATTTCCCGGCATTTTAGACTAAAATGCCCTTAATTTTTTTTCAAATAATATCCTTCTTCTGTTGTTGAATAAAAAAATTCCACGAAGTTTAAATTGCAAATTTATCCTTAAACTATTTTAGATTTACAAAAAAAATCCATAATTAGAATTTTATATGAAGTTCAGGGGTTAAAATAAAATAAAACCCTTTCATTAAACCTATTTATCTTTTAAATTTTGTAAAAAAATTATATAAATTTTATGAATTTAAAATTTTTAAAGAAAATATATAAATTAAAAATAGTAAAATTATATATATTTTCTATGATCTTTTATACAAATATTTTCATTTGAATATTTAGAATTCAACTTGTTAAAAAATATATATATAATAAGGACAATTTGGTAAAATATACATTCCAATAATCTTTTATTCCTTTATCCAAACATTTTAATCTTACATTTCTGCTAAACGAACCAAACACAACAATGCAACAATCCCAATAATGTGTTAGGTAATGTTACATTCCGGTAATCCTATTCCCGGAGGTAATGTTACATTCCATGAACCAAAAGCACCCTAAGTAAAATATCGATTGACAGGAAGACAGGTCCCAGATGACAGTGGCATTTGCCGAGGGGTGTTGCACATGAAGGACGACTAAATGTTGTCCATCGTCTAAGCAAGGAGGGAGAGCTAACTAGATGGAGATTGGAGAATGACAAATGGTATCATCGTTAGACAACAGTGTGTCCTAACTGGGTACATCCATGTTTAGAAGGTCATAACTTTTTCCGTGTCCACTTAAACATGTTGATATGAGCATAAAATGCAGGTATTTTAGGAAAGAAGGAAAAGACAGCAGCATATCTTAAGGGAATGCAATTATGCTTATCATCTTACCTTCTCAAATCTTTCAGGAATAATGGTCAATTCTCCCTTTTCAACTGCATGAAGAGCCTTTTCAGCTAAGGGCTCCATCGTTACAAACCACTGCTTGCTTACTAGTGGCTCTATTATCTAATAAGAGAACCAAACATGGGAAAAATATGAGAAAGAATTACTGAGAGTAATTATCAACACCGTAACTTCAAAAACAAAAGAACATAATTAAATGAAATATCCACACCTCTCCTCCACGCTGAGATCTTGGCACTCGTAAGGTGTGGGGTTCCTTTTTCACAGCTAAGTCGGTCTCCTCAAGATCATTCCACAGTTTCTTCCGTGCCTCAAACCGATCAAGGCCACTAAAATTTAAGAGCCAACCAGAATAAATTAGGAAAAGATAAAAAGGCGACTTTAATTTATCATTTGTTCAGAAAATCCTAACAAATTACCAGTACAGTCCCGCAACCTCATTTAGTGTCCCGTCCTTGTTCATAACATTAAGAATGGGAAGACCAAGTTTTCTAGCCAGAAGATAATCATTATGATCATGTCCAGGACTTATCTTCAGCACACCAGTCCCAAAGTCTTTATCAACATACAGCCACCATTGATATAATCAACAATGCAGAAGTGAGGTTGTCAACTTGAAATTCATTTATTTAATGGAACAGTTGCAACATTTTCCACCTCAAGCAAATTATTCATTCTTAAACTAGAGATGAAACCCACAATGAAGATGCCTACAGGTTACTAAATGAAAAGGATGCGTCCAAAATTTGGAGCACAATGTCATCATGATGCCCAATGCGACCTTGGGCAAGACAAATATCCCACAGCTTGCCAAAGGCAATGCATCCAAATATCTTACTTCTATGAACCATGAAGATTGAGGAAATTATGGGCATGGATATCAGAGACTCCAAATTGCACTTCACCCTTTACAAATCAAATGGTATAATTTATTATGCTATGGCAATCAACTTCAGAAGTATTAGCTCATATGCTTCTCCAACTCATTATTTTTCTTGAAGCATCCAGTATCTGACACCCATCTTGAATGCATATTGAACACGAGTATGAGGATATAACCTTCAAGGACCCAACAAATACATGGAAAAAGAATAAAAAAGCCTGTGTCTGAAACATATTTGTATCAGACAATCACAAATGAGAACACCATAAACTAGCTCCTGTCTTTTATCTAATGTTTTCCCATACAATTATCACTATTCAACTTTAGTTTCTCCATCACTAGAAAGAATTTTTCCCTCTTTTATATCTTGAATAATATAAAATGTTTAAGCCTTTACAGGACAGACTTCAATATCTATGTTTCATTAACATTTTTCTAGTTAAGTAAAATTCAACTAAAAAGCTTACTATAGTTAATCTGCCTCATCTTGCACTATTTCCATTTTAACCTTGATGTTATTACAAAAGACTAACTCTCTACCCAAAACAAAATGAGAAAAAATGATCAAGTGAGAGAGAGGTTTAACAACTGGAAAAAACCAAATGAACCTTTTATGCATTTGGAAATCAGAACAGGCAGTGACGATTTGAAAGTATTCAAGCTTAAAGAAGGCCTAAATCTAACTTTGCAACGCCAGATCATAATGTCTTTGTCAATTTAGGTTCTTACAAAGAAAGGTGCTACAGAAATATGAAATGAATCCCTACAAACAAATTTCTAAGGTCATAAATATTAATGAAACAGACTAATTCTAGGTTCAGATCTTGGGCTCTCTGGCTCAGCAATCACACCTAGACATACCAAACTTTTTTTTTTATAGAAATGGGAGATCTCATTAAAAACCCCCTTCATAACCTATGAAATATACACTATTTCACAGGACATTGGAAGGAGGAAAAGAGTGTCAAAATTTTATTGAATATCATAACCATATTACATTAGAGTTTACATCATACACCATACAACTACCACTAACAAACATACACAAAACCCCCTAACCAACCTCTCTTGTCTACGCACAAACCCACTCAACCAATTCCCTCTATAGCCAGTTTATCCACCTCCCAATTGGACCCTCTAGAAATATACCTAACAATCACATCCCTATCCCTAACTAAAAATATAATCTCCTTCAAAATAAGACTCAACGAATCAGGACAACCACCCTGGTTTTTGATCCAATTCACCACTGAGAGGCAATCACATTCTAATATTAGCCTCCCTTTCCTACACCATATAAATTCTATAAAAAGCATCACAACAATTCAGCTACTGCAGGACCCTGACTAACAGCCTCCAAGAAGGACCCCAACAGAAAACCCCTCGAGTCTATAAGAATCCCGCCAATGCCCCTTTTAGCCAATCACCACTGACTGCACCATCCACGATCAATTTAAAGAATCCCATAGGAGGCGGAACCCATATAGACCGAGATAAATCCAATCTCTTATGGCTACCACACTGGTCCGCAACAGATGGGTCACCAATCAACCAATCAAAGGAAGAGGAAAAATGAGGGTGCTTAGCAGAAAACCAAGCCACCAGTCTATACCGAGCAAGGAAGAAAAGATTAAGCTGATCCTTAGACTTCCTTCAAAAACTATCTGATTCCTATACTTCCATATAGACTACATCACGACTCCCGGAATAAACTTCCATATTTCAGACTCCGGAACCATCCCCCACCAAGCCTGAAAAAAAAAACTGCAGGATCAAAATGAAGAGGAGATTGAACATTCCAAAAACGCATAAACCTGCACCATAAACCCCAAGACACACAGCAGTTGAAAAACAAGTGAGAAACCGACTCTGGAAACAACCCGCATAAAGGACAACTAATGTCATCAATACCAAGAACCTTCCTCTTCAACAACTCACACTTCACTGCCAACTTCTGATGTACAACTTGCCAAAGGAAGGATTCCACCCTAGGAGGGACAAGTCCACACCAAACCATACTAACCCAAGCCTGACCAGGCCCCAACACATCGAACCAGCACTTTAGACAATACCTCACCGAATAAGCACCATCACCACACCCTTTCCACAACAAACAATCATCACTCCTCTGATCGACACTCACACTCTTCAATAATTTCATCAAATCTAGCCACACATCCAATTCCCAATCTGCTAGATTTCTCCTCAATTTGATCTCCCAAACCCATGATAACGAGCAGAACAAACCAAAATCTGAAATTTTACCCCATGTATTAACAGATAGGAAAAGCAGTCTAGGGAACCTATTCTTTAACGGCATTCGACCAATCCACACATCATACCAAAATAAAATAGACTTCTCATCCCCAACTTTCAAATGCAACAACTTTCGGGCACACTCACCCAAAGCATCCTCTTTCAACCAGCTTTGAACTACATTCTTCCACAACCAAGAAGCATGGCTAGGAAACTTCTTCAAGAGAATATCACTACTATCCAAATTGTATTTACAACATATCATTCTTTTCCACCAAGAGTTCTTTTCACAAGAGAATTTCCACGCCCGTTTACCCAAAAGAGCTCTATTCACTAACTGAAGATTAGAGATTCTCAGTCCTCCACAATCCTTTGGCGAACAAATAGTCGACCACCTAACCCAATGGATCTTTTTCCTCTCAACCGAACCTCCCCAAAGGAATCTAGCCATAATAGAATTTACTTTCTTCAAAACTGATGTTGGAATTCTAAAAATAGACATAAAGTAGATAGGTAGCGAACAAAGTACAAATTTGACAAGAACTGTTCTGCCAGTAAACGAAAGGGAGGAAGCTTTCCTCCCAGCCAATTTAGAATCAAATCTCCTAACCACCGGCTCCCACATTGCAGCCGAATTCCTTTTATCACCCAGAGGAATTCCAAGATATTTCGTTGGGAAGGTGCCAACTGAACACCCAATAATATCAGTCCAATCTTTTAAACAGCCTTGCCGAAGCCCTCTGGATATATTAAATTCCTCCGTGGGAGAACCATTAACTAAAACAGAAACAGTGGCCGACGAAATACATTAACGAATCCAAGAGCACCATTCTCCCCAAAACCCATGAGAACCATTACTTTTAATAACAATGTCCAATCAACCAAGGCATATGCTTTCCTAAAATCAACTTTAAAGGCAACTCCAGCTAACCCTTTCCTCCTCCAATATTCAATACCTTCATTTGCTATAAACGAACAATCCAAAATCTGCCTACCCGAGATAAATACGAACTGGGAAGGCCCAATTAATAAATCCATTCAACCTCTAAGTCTACTAGCTAAAGCTTTTGATAAAATTTTGTAAAGTCCCCCAACAAGACTGATTAGGCAAAAATCTTCAATGCATTCTGGACCTAACTTCTTAGGGATCAAGGTGATAAAAGAGTGATTAATTCCTCTTTCCCACTGTTTTCCAGCAAAGAAATCACTACAAAACCTCATCACCTCATCTTTCAGGTTCGGCTAATTTTTTTAAAAAAAACCCATATTCAGCCCATCTAGCCTTAGTGCTTTGTTAGGATCCGACTCTGAAACTATTTCCCATATTTCTTCTTCTGAAAATAGAACTTCCAATCATGTGGCAATGTCTGAACTAAGTCTGGAAAAACCAACATCCATCTCCTCTACTTCTATAGTATTTTTCGTGTTATAAGTGACTTTAAAGAAATCAAGGATATGGGCTCTAATAACGCTCGGATTCGAACATTGCTCCCCATTAATCTTCAGAGAATGATAGAATTCACCCTGCCTCTACTGGATGCACAATGATGAAAGAATCTAGAATTACGGTCCCCCTCCAAGAACCACTTGCACCTTGACTTCTAATGCCAAATTCGTTCCTCCCTAGGTAAAGACTCCATAATTCATTTTTAGCCTTCACGATCGAGTCAAAGGAGAGAAAATGCGACCCCTGCTGCAAGGCCAACTCCATCTCAAGAATGGATTTCTCAAGAGCCGAGATCTTCCCTAGTAGTTCAGAGTGTCTATTTCCGGTCCAATCTTTAACAACTGCCTTCACTCCTTTCAACAGGTATGTTATTCCTCTACGTCTCTTCTCCATCTTTAATTCACCGATTTTTGCTTTTACCATTTCCAGAAAACTTTCTTTCTCATCAAATAGTTAAATAGTTTAAACGGTTGAGGACCCCAATTAATTGCGCAAGTTTCTAGCAGAATAGGATTGTGGTCAGAGAGAACGAGGAAGCAGTAGTTGAGAAATTATTGGGAAAAGATCTAAAAACGTTTTGTCAACAAGAAACCTATCTAGCCTTGTTGAGTTAATCGATTGATGGAATCGGCCAAGAGGGGGTGAATTGACAATTAAAAATTTGGTGGAAGCTTTTACAGAAAATTGAAAGTAATTGCACAGCGATTTAGAGTGATTCGACTTTCTCAACCAAAGTCTACGTCCACTACCTTAGCTATCCACACTAAGGATTTTCCACAAATTCACTAATTTGTCTTTCTTTTAGGACAAAGAGTAACCTTACAAACCATCAAGAATTATACCACAAATTCTTGAGAACACTCTCTCCCAAAGAGAATAATACAAATTTGCAAACTTACAAGGAAATCCTCACAAGGTAGATTGTTTGCACAATTCTAGAACAAAGAAAAGAACACTCAAGAATGATTACAATTGAG